AGACTAAAATAGGAGATATTGCTAAAGGAGAAGATTATAAAAAAAGAAAACCAAGGCCTGATGTTTGGTTTCTTTTTTTTTTTTCTGTTTAATATACTTGAGCCTTGGCTTTTCAGAGCCATGGGGAGGGCAGAACCGTGGTGATGAGGTTGTAGTTCAGACCAGAGCTCAACCCTGAGCTAACTGAAGCTCACCCTTGGATCCCATACCACTCTCCCCGCCACTGGTTATGTCCCATCGTAATGACACCAGGAAGGAGAAGGGATGTTTCTCAATGACTTTCACCCACTAATGAGCTGTAAGCAAAGAGGTGCCCTCCACTTCATAAATGAAAACCCTTTCTGGCTTGGTAAAAGCCATTTCAATACCTCACGAAGCGATGATTGATGGGGGAGAGGAGGAACCATTTTTTGGCAAAACCTCACCACGCTGCAGCCTTTTCTGGAAAGGGCTCGCCGTGGAGACCACTATCTGGCATCACACTTGGGTTTATCAGCTAACGCAGGTGACTCTGCTCATTGACCGCAAGGCTCTACTCTTGTGAGTGTCCCAGAATAGCTGCGGCTACCTGAGAGCAGTTTAGTCCTCGGGGACTCATTATTGTCCCAGATAAACAGCGTGGCCCAAGCCAGTGCGTAATGGCTGTATTTAACCGTGATAAGTGATTGGCCGACGTGCCCGAGTGAGCTGCCTTGCTGCGGGGCCCCGGTAAATGGACAAAGGCCAGAGGCTCAGCAGCGGGCATTTCTTGCACATCGTGCAGCTGATGCCACAAGGTTGTAGATTCTGGGAGTAAATATGACAGATGCGGGGAGCTTGGCTTCTAAGCAGGTAAGACACAACAGACATCCAGGATTTTGATGATGCTAATGACAAAGGTATTTGAGGAAGGAAAGAAGAATAGAAGTTTGGAGAATGGATTAGATAACCCAAGGCTGGTTTTCTGGCAGAGGTGGACTCTTGTACCGTGGAGGGACCAGCTTGCAAATGTTGGGATGTAGGATAAGATAAACATTTTTCTCTGGATGCGCGTTTACTTCTGGAAGTGGTTGCATAGAAATTACAAAATTTCCTTTTAAACACAACCAGTGTTAAGTCTTAGACTGTAAAGACCAAAGAAGGAAAGGTGAGAATGGTCGTATTTTGACAGTATTGACACTGAAAAAACTTATCAGTACTCAGGCCCAATTTTTATTCTCTGTAGTTCTCTGCAAACTCTTGTGTGGTAAAAGAGGATGAGTAACTCGATCACATTCTTAGCAATGCTCTCCTGATGAAAAAAGGAAAAGTGGGGCACCCGGGTGGCTCAGTCGGTTGAGCGTCCAACTCTTGATTACAGCTCAGGTCTTGGTCTCAGGGTCATGAGGTCAAGCCCTAGTGTGGAGTCTAGTTTAAAAGAAAGAAAGAAAGGAAAGTGCTAGGCAGGCAGAGGCTCTCTCAGTGCCCTTGGTGTTTGCATTCCCTGAGGAAGGTTCTTCATTCTTCTGGCCTGAAGGGACCAAAGGGTCTGGAATTCTGAAGGCACCTGGCCATATGAGCCTGCTGGAGACGGTGCATTGTGGAGCCGGTCTTCAAATACAGTACACGCATGGTGTACGAGCTGGGCTGTGTGTGCATGATAGTCCATGTTATAGGACCCTGGGTTGTCCTGCCTTGAGATGAACCTCCAACTCACAGGAAAATCCCAATGGGAGGCACAAATATCGTCACTTCCCCAGAATTCCCTGCATTAAGGGACGCTCCAAAATTCTCTGCCAGAGAGCTGTGTGTATGTGTGTGAGTGAGTGAGAGAGAGAGAGTCGTAGAAAGGAGTCTCTGGAACTTTGGGCTTTGGAGTTCAGAAATTTATTAATAGTTTTCCTTATGTTATGCTCAAGTTTATAATCCTGCATAGTTGACCACTGGCTTTGGTCCAAAAATCCTATGGTCATAGAACTTGAGAGGTGGAAGATATAATAGAAAATCTCACCCAGGCACCCATTTCACAGAAGAATCAAGGCTTGGGCAGGTTAAGGAAGGGGACACGCTGGACTGTAACTAGTGTCTCTGTTTCACTTATCATAGTAATTTCCCCTTTGTTCAGATCAAGAAATTTAGAGTGGATGGATTTTCCATAAGATCCTTCTGCTTGGCAAGGGCAATATAGGAACTGGCTCAGGCTCTGGAACTTCCTCATGATCCCTCTCTAAAACTCCAAGTTTGCTTCCTCCTCACTCTTGAGTTTCATACTTTGCATACCAGTCACTTCAGGAAGGTGTAGCCCAAGCTTGGTTCTTCATTGTCATTGAAGCCAGAGTCTGTTCCCATGTCCCAAACAACGGGTGGGAGGGAGGGGGGGCCTGCCCTGAACCAGCCAGGGTCACTGGAACACAAGGAGGATGACCTCCGTCCCACCCCCTCTTCAAATGTGACTGCAGACAGGGACTTGTGCTGCCACCCTCTGGCCTTCGTGGGTGTCCCAGACATGGCAAGTGTGTGGTGAGAGGCAAGGAAACAGCACAAATTGTCTACTTTGCCATTCTCTTAAAATAAGCTCGGTGTGAGGAGGCTTTCAGAGCAGCAGGAATGGGGCTGCAAAAAATAGAGTGCAGTGCAGCTGCACCCTTTAGAACTTGGGGGGAAAACACATATTATTTACCAGACAATAATAGATACCAGAGAATAATAATGATTATTATAGTGTTTGGGATGGCAAACGCTGTAGTTAAGGTTCCAGAATGGCTCTCATTATAATCCCGTTTTCCCAAGTCCCTTATGAAAGCCTTGAAATTTTCTCCAAGTAGGCTGATGCTGTCCATGTTTGGCCTTTGTCCAAAGGTGATTTGAATATAAAGAAACTCGTTTGAGAAATATTCCTCTTCTTGAGGTCATGATTACATTAAAGGGGGGGGGAAGCCACATCCTTGAAAAAGCCATTACGGCATTCCTAAGTAAGTCATTCAAAATGGCGGTGTTTCCCAGTCACTGGAAGAAAGCGTTAAATGCTTTTCTGCTGCCACCCCCCCCCCGCCCCCGCCTTTTCCTTTTTAAAGAAGGGATTCAGAGACCTCCTCCAACTACAAAATTTGGTCACTCTTGGTCCCAAGCCCAGGGGTGGGGATGGTTTTCCTCCCTTCAAAGCAAGTTCCAGGCTATGCTCCCTAAATGGAAAGAACTGCCCCAGAAGAAGCTACACTTGTATCTTTGGATCCATTCGTGCCTTCTGAGTCTCCTTTCCAATTCTTTATGACCTCTCATTTGATAGTGGCTCTTGACATTTTTATTTCTGTATCCCTTCTTGCCATTGTTTCTTTCTGAAAGAAAGAAACAAAGAAAGAAAAGGAAGTAAAAGAGAGAGAGAGAGACAAGAAAGAAATAAAAAGTGAGCTCTTTATTCAGAGATAAATAGCCACATTTCCAAATCTGACCATGCCAAATGAAAAGGTTTCCATGGCCTTGTAATTCCAACCCCCACTGCATATTTGTGGTGTCTTGCATTTTCACTTTGGTTCTTTAATATACATATTAAATACACACAGATCTGGTGATTTAATGTGATTTGGGGAACTCAGGCATTTCCTGTCATGCACATTCAGATTTTCAGACCTTGTTTTTGGCTGATCATTATTATTGTTACCATTAACACCAGGACTGGGAGAGCAGGGTTGAAAGCACAAGTTCGTGTTGAGTCTTCCCAACGAGCATGCTGACCTCCTCATACTTGAGCTGAATTCAGGCTACAGACACCCCAAGCAAGTTTGCGGGTCTCTTTGTGGCCTCTTTTTCTTCATCTATAAAATGTGGAAATTATATTATCTCTGGGGTCCCTTCAAGTTTTCAATTCTATTGCCTCCCTGAGGTTATTTGTTCGTTGTTCTAGGAATAATCTCAACCCTTGTAAGGATGTTTACGAGTCCCTTGTCTCGTAAACCTCACGTTCAGTCAGCTTTTACCCAGTTACATTTCTGACATCCTCACGGATCAGCAGAAGAGAAAAGGAATTTTTTGAGGGCATGAGGGACGGGAGCTGCTTGACCCTCATTCACTGGACAAACTCGTGTCTAGCTGAACCGGGGGCTGGGTGTGGAGATGTGGGCCAAACAGACACAGCCCCAGACCTCAGGGATTTTACAGTTTGCTTGGCAGACTTCTAAGTGGCTGTTTACTAGGAGTCCCTGGGTGTCCTCAGGAGGTTATATTTCAAACCAAGGGACTGGTGGCCAATGAAATGAGCCAGTAGGGATGGAGAGGCAGAGCCCAACATCCGTGGTAAAAGCCGGGGTGGGCATTCTCCAGAAATGGACTTCCCTGGAGAACAGTCCCCTTCAGAGCCTCTGCCCTGGGATCCCGAAGCCCTGTTGGCTTATTGTCTGCCAGTCCCTTGCTACTGTTCGGTTCAGGTAGCAAGAGATGGGAATGGCTCACCTTTGTCAGGCAAGACGCACGGAGAGGGGCATTTCTCCCAGCTCAGCTGCCTCTGCAGGAAACCTCTGAAGAGAGGTCTTCGTGTCTGCAGTCGATATTCATGGGCTAAAAAGCACATCTCTAGGCTTTCCTCCTTTGTAGCAAACACCAGAGCTGTGACCCAGAGTACAGGGGTGAGGTCTGGAGCTCCAGGGCCCCTGCGTGACCTTGCCTCGCTTTGGGGTGACCTTGGGCCATTCAAAGGAGCTGCCAGTTAAACGTGCTGTATGGGGGAGGGCGAAGGTTGCCTGGTGGCGAAGGGATGCTGCTGTGGTCTTGGGGGAGGGCGTGGTGCCCCATGCTCATTACAGCATTCCAAGAAGCGACTCCTGTTTCATTTCCTCACACAAAGCTGGCAGGGCTGACCCCGAGCAGAACTGTGAATTAAAGACACGTCAGAATCACGCTGTGCTCTCTTGTCCTGCGCCTTCGTCGCAGGTTGGGCCCACCGGGCCAGAGTGTGCGGCCCTGCCTCCTGCCTGGGTTTTCCCTGCATGGGGTAGGGGTGTGGTTGGATCCCGTGGATGCTGACCGGCCTTTTCTTCTCTTTTTCCCAGGAATGCTCACTCACAGGGTCCCCTGCGTGGAGAGAGGGCGCAGAGCAAACCATGTCACGCCATCCAATGACACCAGCTGGTCAGCTCACCACCCCCTCTGGCTAAAACTCAAACGAATCAAGCCACTTCCTGTCATTAAGCATCTCCGAGGAAGAAGCCCTCCCTCGGTGGCCTCCAGCCCAGAGAAGCCAGCACGTCTTGGACCTACCAAGCGGCCCAGCCTTCTTGCGGCCACCGTCTCTGCTTTCCCCCAGAGGAACTTAGGGATTTCGCCCCTGGTTTTAGAACAACAAGACACCGACAAGCCACAAGGACCAACATAGGTACTCTCCCCGCTCCATCTTCGAGGCTCAGAGGTGAGGCTGGAAGATGATATGAATTTGAAAACAAATATCTTTTTTTAGTCATTTTAAAAACTGCTGTGGTTTTGCTGCTACACGAAGAATTGTGATTTTTGCATTGTACGGTTTGGGACCTGTACTGTCCACGTTTTGAAGGCGGAGAGGGATCGTCCTGGGGTCCCAACACTTCAGCGTCGTCTCTGTCCTGCCCAGGATGCACTTTTAAATGAAGAGTTAGAATATTTTATTGGCTGATATACTTTTCTTGTTATTTTTACAAAGGCCACCTTTATCCTTTTTAATGCCATATTTTCAGTGTTACACTTTTATGGCTTTTAATTTTCGATTTGACAGATGTAAGAAGCAGCATGAATAGTTTATACTGTGGTTTTTCAGAGACTGAATGCCAAGAGAACTCGGTAAATGTTTATTCTTCTCAGCTTTCTCCTTAAATTCTCCTAAATAGCGCCCCATTTGGGAACAGAGCAAGAGTGTTGAACTGAAGACCAAAATGCCCTCAAGGTGTAAAACAATCTGGGGGGACTGTTTGCTGGGCGTCACGAAAGACTTGGATGAAATTTCAACCCTGATGGTTTTTGGTGATCCAGGAAGTCAGTGAAGCAATCTCTCTCTACGCAGAGTCCTTTCATGATAATTAGAATGGTATGGACGAACCAGTGGAAACAAGAGGGAAAGTGAGAAAGATCGCCCATGATTCTGTTTCACTGTTTGCTTTCTCCTGTCATGGTTAAGAGAAATGTGCAATTCGATCCTCGGTCAGTGGGTGGAGGATAACAGGGTAGATTTTCTTGTGTGCACTTGTACGGTCGTAGCTGCGAGTCCAGAAGTCCTCGAGAGCATGTGTACTGACACTGAGTTGGTGAGACAGTCGTGGAGTATCCCATTCTGATGAGTACAGAAAAAAAAAAAAAAAAAGAAAGAAAAAAAAGAGAAAAAATAAGAAAAAAAATCCAAAAAAAGAAGAAAACTAAAAAAAAAAAAAAAATCAAATCACCTTGTGATTCAGTGTATCTGTTTACTAACTCAGATAAAGCAATTGTTCCCTCTTGAGGGGTCCAGGTGTCCCCCCCTCCCCACCCCCCACCCCACAGGGCCGCCGCCAAGCGAGCGGGAGACAGGAGGGGCGGCAAGCGGTGGTGGGGGTGGATTGGGGGCGGTGAGGCCGGGACAGTGTCGCGCTGGCCTTGAAGCACCATGGGCCCGCGGATGCCATGTACATACTGTATTTCTATATTCTCCTTTGTACAGAGTCACTTAACAAGTCAAGCTACTGTTTTACAGGTGCTCCTTATTTATTAGAGCTGTGAGAGCTTGGGGGACACACCTGGCGAGCGAGCTCGCTTTTTAAAAAATGAAATTAGGGGACAGGGGAAGGGAGGTGGGAGGGAGGGGAAGCTCGAAAGCCCAGGGAGAGATTTATAAAAGAGAACAAAAGGAAAACTTCCAGCGACAAATTAAACAAACAAACCCCAACACCACCCCCCCCAACCCCCCCAACCCCACAGGAAGCAGCGGTCCTTCTTCTGGGTGCTCAGTTCCCTGCGGGGCTCCCAACATTCTCCTCTCTCCCTGACTGGTGTCAGCTTCATCAAACAAAAATAAATCTCTAAGAAAAAAAATGCACTTACATGTGCTTATTTTTGCTTTTCTCATTATTATGACTATTGTTGTTATTTTCCTTGTTACAGAAGGCGCTCATTTCTTTCCCCCAGGGAAAACCTTTTCTAAAAAATAAAGTGAGTACGTTTTGAAGGATGCTGAGATACAGGGGCAACGCTGGCCTTCCTGACCTGCAGTGAATCATGCCTGTGTACAAACAAGAGGCCACTGGCCTGTGTGAGGGGCTGCTTCCCCAGCATGCCCTTGCTGATGACACGAAGGGACATGAGTAGTGAGGTCCTGGGCCTGTAGACTGTGTGTCCCTCCCAACCACCCTCCCAGTCCTGATCAGGGTTGGGTTTTTTTGGGCTCCAAGAAGCACCATCCAGTTGCAAACATCCCCATCGGGTTTCATTCCCACCACACCATCTCAACACCCCCTCCTCCTCCAGGCTGGGAGATGTTTTTGTGTTAACTCTACAAGAATGGTAGATCTCTACAAGAATGTAGAACTCTACAAGAATGGTCAATCTGGTTTCTCCTTGGTACTGAATTAAACATCGGAAGACTTCTAAGGTGGGTAATACATTAGTACCTAGTTCTAGCCAGTGTTGATCTGTCTCATCCTCTTGTTCTGCCTTTGAAAAAAACCGAAGCCTGGAAAGGTGAATTGATTTGCTGAGTCCCACATGGGTGTGGTTTAACTTCTCTAAAAAAACGTAGGCACTGTCAGCAGCTTCTTCTGAGAGACCTTCCTGGGAGAGGGTTCTGGAGACCAAGTTTCTTTCTCTCGTGAAAACAGGGACTCTCACATGTTGCTGGCCTGGGGCTATGACGACAACTCTGTCAGAGCTCTGTAGGCCCAGCTGAGGACGTGCCAGGGGCCCAGATACCCAGCTGTTGTTGTCTGGCACAGAGTCCCAGGTAGGATTTTTCATCTGGACTTGCTCATAAAGACAATCATCGAGGATGCTGATTTTGCTGTGGTCGTAGTCCAAGACGATTGAGCAAACAGTTTGACCCTTCTAGAAACAAAAGATACCTTTGTACCAACACGAGAGGATTTTATGGCATCTCAGTAGACATAAGCATACCTTTTCCCTTCCCTTCCTTCTCCTAATCTTGGTGTTCTCTAAATACAAAATCCTCTTGGGCTATCAAAACTATCTATAAAGAAAAACAGAAATGAGAACATCAACTATTCCTAGCATGTGCTGAGGCTTAGTTTGATCCTCAGAGAAACTGTATGAGAAAGGCCTTGTTCTTTTCCCTTTATTATAAAAGAAGAACCAATCTCAGTGAGTTTAATATTTGCCCAAGACCACACAGCCAGTCAGTCGCAGAATGGGATTCAAATCCATGAGGTTTGCGGCCAGAGCCCAGGCCATGCACGTTCAAGCCAGAGAAAAACAGATGACATCTTCATGAAGAGTCATTTTGACTTCCTGTAAGTTTGGCAGTGGCTCAGTTTTGTTCCAAAGTGGTCCTCAATTTTAAACTAAGCCGGAAGGTTGAGCATTCATGGTTACTGGCCGCTGCCCCTTATTGGATGTGGGAAAGTGCTGAGACCACTCCGCTTCCTGAGAAACGCGTCAGGCAGGGTCTTCCTGGTTAGTTATCAAACCCCCACTGGTCCCGGGGCCCCATGTGCGATGCTAAGGGGAGACAGGAAGAAGAATAAATTTCACAGCCCATGCCCTCGTAGCTTACAGGTAATGGGAAGACGGGGCTGTGGAAAGGATGGACCCCTTCTTGGTCTCACCAGCAATCACCTTGAATATTTTCCAAGGTTTATGAAATTCACCACTTTGCAAAGATGCACACCCCACCCCCCCGCACTGTAGGTGCTCCCTTAAAAATGGGAGGACAGCTTGAGCTGTAAGCAGGTGTCCCTTCATGCTGCCTACATGATGTGGCAGAAGGCCAGAGTCCAGGGCTAGGTACGAAGGCACTCAAGATGGATACTGCTTCCCTCCCCTCCTTGGCTTATCCTCCAACCCAGGAGCCAGAGTCCTCGCCTCCTTGACCAGGGGCAACAGGGCCTCACCCTGGGACATGTCAACCCTGTTCCCAAGCCCTTAGTGGTTCCCTACAGAAGCAAAGCCAAGGGCCTAGTAGGACAAGCGGAGCCCTCCAATGTTGGTCCATGCTGGCCTCACCAGAGCCGCCTCTTCTCTGCCAGTGCGGCAGGCACTCTTTCTGGATGCCCCTGCTCTTGGCCCATCCTCGGTCTTTGCATGTCCAGGTGCCTCTGCATCAAATATCTTTCCTTCATCTTCCCGGGGCAATTTCTACAACTCATCAGGACGCAGCCAACCACTTGGGTGATGCTCTCTAGGGGAGTCTGCAAAAAACACTGGCTCCCCTCTCCTGTTGGGCCAAGAGCCCTACCACGCCCCACTCCCTCCCAGGGCACCTCACGCTCTGCTTGTCCAGCTCCTCGCCTGTCTGTGCCCTTCGCTAGACTGCACAGTCCTTGAGGGTGCAGATCCTGTCTTATTCGCCTTGGTTCTCCTGGGCCCGGCACAGGGGGAACCCTTAAGATGATGATCATTAATGCGATTTACAAACCACCCCTTCAAAGCTCAGTTTTCATGCCACCCGTCCATGAAGTCAAGCCCGATCTCCCTGTGGCGCTGTTCACCGCTCCTCCCTCGGGCTTTTGGGGATCTTGTTTAAATGGAAAAGGCCACCCCTTCCTATGTCATCTGGGGTGTTCACACATAGGACCCTGTGACCCTCCTAACTGTATTGTTGAAGAACGATCGTTCACCCTTGGATGAGCAAATGGGGGCTGAGTTGGGGCACGAGTCCAGCCTGATGGTGGAAGAGGGTGGGACAAGCCTGATGGCCAGAGCCATTGTGCAGTGAACACAGGATGCCTGCAGAGCTCCATTTTGTCCCTGGCGCTCACAGAAGCGGGGCTCCAGTGTCACCCTGCTTTAGCCTGTGGGGCTTCTACCTACCTCTGGCTTCTTCTGGATGTAGGGAGCTACACAAGAGAATAAGACTCCATCATGGCCCCAGGGTTTCTGTGATGTGCAATGATTTCAGGTTGCAGAACTATGACGCTTTTAAGCCAGGAAGGCCTTACACAAGATAACCTCTAGGTGTGACCCTTGGACACTCTTAGAGATGGTAAATGAGGCTT